CCTCATATTGCGCCTAGCCAGACCCCTGGTAGGATCTTGAAAGTGGATCCCCTTAAGTGACCCTAAAGGGTTCCTTACGTCGCCTTATGAGTACAAGGTACCATCTTGGGGGAAAGTAGATCGTCCCAGGGGTTTGAATACGAGTTTTTGAGTTTTGCGGACTCAAACATGCTCCTGTGTTTTGGCATGTCCTCGCACCAACCCACAGGCCTCTTTGGTTGTGGAAGAGATGAGGCTAGACTCGAAGACGGAGCAAAATTCCACGGATGAAAGAATCAGTCGATGCACCGCGCCAGTTCACGCGCGCGTCTTGCAAAAATGTTCTGAAGTCCATTCTGTACCCAGAGCCCCTCTGCTTCACGAACTGGATGGGATGGGCAATGGGACCAGTGCCGGGGCCCCAAAGTGAAGAGAAAGTGCTATGCAGCCGCCACTGATGAGGCATGCGTCCGCCCAATACGTACCGTTGAAGGCCCAAAACCCTGCATGATTGTATATCTAAAAACCCAGGAATCATGATACTGAACAATAGCATGCCTAAAGTCAGGCGGCATATCATCCATCAACACTATGCGGCTGAAAGCGCAGCTAAGACACGTGGAAAAGGTTCAGGAGGATTGAAATCCCAAACTTGCATCCTCAACCTCCGTCCGAAACAGCATCCCAAGCCCTTCAGTGGCAAAGTGGACTTTGCGGTTTGGAACTTAGAGCACGGCCTCCTGTTTGAGGATTTCCTCAGACTCTCAGTCTGCCATCTCAGGGTTTAGGGTCTTGGGGAGTATATATATAGTTTAGGGACATTACCCCGAGTAGCGAAGAATCAAATGAGCGCGGAAAATTGCCCAGGTACTGGGACTGTATGTAGGTTTCCCCCAAAAACACTGGTCACTGTTTAGGGTTTAGGGACCGCAAAGGTAGGGAACCCCTGGGATGCAAAGCTGCTGCACCTTTTGCCGCAAACATGAAAAATGCTGGATGTGTGCAGTCCGCCTTAAGTAGATAAAATATGGGCTAAATGGGGGATCTTATTGTAACATAGCCTGAGCCATTTTCTATCTACTTAAAAGGGACTTTAGGTGCGAGTTTTGAAAGATTAGGCTTTTCAGGGACTCTGTTAACGTGGAGGGTTGATTTCTCATGCAGGGCAGACCTAAACCAAAGGCTGGGACAAGTTCCCATAATCAAAATGCTTCAACAGAACATCTTGTTTGGTCGCAAAAACACCAAACCTAGGGTCCTTTGGGCCCAGCATACTTGCTGATGCCTTTCAAGAAAACCAGAAATGGTAGGTTCCGTACATGTACCATGGCACACAACCCTTGTACATCGTCCCCGTTTCCAGGCCAGCTCTTCATTTACAACGGCGTACTTTGCATCTCGGAGTTCGTCAGACTCTGGCTACTGCGTACATTCAAAAAAAAACTTTTCCAAGAAGTACCGAACCATTCTCCAAGTACTATACACCTTCCTTTTTAAGCCCGAAACCTAAACACTGCGGTTGATACCTAAACCTAAGAAACTATGGCATTACAGTACACTAAGGCCATCCAACCTTATCAGCATCGACAGTAACATCAGACCCATCTCTGTGCGATCTGGTGGCGATCCGTGATCGAGGCAAAGGCAGCTTCATGCCTGACCCGTCTCTGCTGGCGTTTTCTGGGTTTGCTAACAGGTTCTCAGTAGGGAATAAGGGAATATAATCCCTATATAATCCCTATGTACTACGCTCCCATGTTGCCTACTAAGAATCAGCATTGCAAGGTTTAGGGGGTAGGGTTCTTTGCGGTGGAACGCTGCTCAATGTATTAGGAGATATAGGGTGCACAAATGTCGGCGCTATGGTCCTTAATGCATATGATTACTGGTGCTACTGGTCCCAGATTGCTTAACCAGCAGCCCAGGCTACCACGTGAAGAACTCACTCATGCCCGGAGAGAAAGCTTTTTAAACAAACCCAAGCCCCCAAACCCTGAATCCTCAAACTACATAAGCCCTAAACCCTATAAACCCCATAAACCCTAAACCCTATAAACCCTAAACCCTTTAAACCCTATAAACCCTACAAACCCTATAAACCTTAAACCCTAAACCCAGTTCTGGGTCGGAAGCTTGTAGACAATCTGGGAACATCGCTCGAGCACCTAAGCTCCAGCCGGCTTCCTGGTTTGGGATTTAGTTCTTGGGGTGTTATTGGGGTTATTTAAAGGGTATTATTGGGATTATATTAGCTTGTTCTTAGGGTTATATTAGGAGTATATTGGGGTCATATTAGGGTATTATTGAGGTTATATTAGGGCGTTAATGGGGTGCTCTTGGGGTTATATGAGGGTATATTGGGGTTATATTAAGGTTATATTGGGGTTATATTAGGGTATGATTAGGGAGCGTTTGCAGAAGAGGGGGCAACAATGGGGACTAGCATCATACGTGAGCCCGAAGTATAGGGCAGTAGTATAAAACTCTAATGAAGTTTATTTCCTTTCAAATATCAGTTCTCGGATGCCCTCTTTTAAGACACTGCCCTTTGATTGTGTGTTACATCAAACCTAAAAATGCCGGCAAGGGATGCAACGGAAACGCGTAGTGCTAAGTAGGAGCCTGCCAGCATACACCAACATTTGCACGACATGGGGGCTACCCGCATCGACAGAGACAGACGAGTCTGCTTTGCACATTTGGACATCACGAGGCCCATAGTTGTGTTTAGGAACTCTTCCAAAGGTTAAGCGTGAGGCCTACCTGTAGTAAGCAGAAGGGAACGTAAAGAATTTAAATCCAAAGATCTGGGCTTAAAGCCTGAGGCCAGCCACAACACTTGCAGACCCCCACCAAACATGAGACAAGAGCATGACTGAGGGCACTGCAGACTGCTGGATGGCTGTGTAAGCAGCCAATCGAATACCCTGGCAAGCCCATGGGACTAAAAATTCGCAGTCCAGTGACAAGGTTCGGGATGATGTAGTGGTGCACTGGGGAATATGGGGTTGTATAGGGACAGGTGGGGTTTAGGGATTAAATGGATGCCGTGAAATTGCAGAAATGCCAAACCCACTTGTTGCACTGAAGCCTAAACCCTTACGGATCAAAGTTGTTCCTGCTTGAAGCTACGGCGCTACGCTCTGCATCAAGGAACTGCACATGACTCTCATGTCGCCTTCCGTAAAATGGTAGCCTTACAAAAAGGGTTTCGCCCAAATTAGGGGAACCATTTTGGGTGTCCCATAGTGAGGACAAGCATAGTTTGGGGTCTATATTGGGCTCCCTTCTTATGGCATCTCCCAGAACAGACAGGCAAAAGGACGCAGACCCGCCAAGGAAGCCCCCACGGGCTTGGACACCGCTGAACACCCTCCATACCCAAAACCCCTCCAGGGAATACCCTACATGAGCCCTCAACCCAAACCCTAGCTCCTAGTGTTGACACTAAACATCCTGCATGACCTTAGTATTCTAGAGTACCATTATTCCCAAGGAATAAGGTACTTAGGGTCATGCAGGATTTCTATTATCCACCGTATCATCAAGTAAAGACCCAAATCCCAGACTGCAGCTCTTGTGGAGTGTGAAAACAGCAAAGCTGCCTCGATACTTGGCTTTGTGTAACAGGACAGCCAAATCGTGGCCTGAGTTCATTGGGAACGGGGGCGGCAAGATATGGCAGTTCCATGCAATCCCATAAGGGGATCCCAATATAGACCCCATAATACTACATGATCCTTATGATTGGGGGCCCCCAAAATGGTATGCCTCATTTGGGGAAATCCACACATGCCTCCGAGGAGTCAAGAGGCTCTCTGTTGCTGTCGCCCTCTGTGACTTTTCTTGGGTTTCTTTATGTTTGCCTTGTCATGCTGACTGCTGACTCCGCTTTCAGACCTTTCTGGCTTGGTTGATGGCTCTCATTTTAGGCCAGCTTCGTGGGGGGTTGTTGCTTCCTCAGAATAGCTTGTCTTTAGAGACTAGATCTGTAAGTAATCCAAGACTTAAGAGGATTGCAGGGATCCCGAGCAAATGCTAGGGGTTATCGTGGGTCATGTTGAGAAGTTCCCAAATAAGACAAAACCCAACCAGTATCAGCTTGCTTTGCTGTCACGTGCAATATTCTCCAATTCGCGGTGACCACCTAAAGCATGTACCATTGAGGCACTTGATCCTTTGGACACCTGGCAGAAAAACTCACTGGTTGTTAGCAGGAATTAGGGAATATAATCCCTATAGAATCCATGTAATATATTTCCTTACTCACCACCAACCCCCAGTAAGAAAAGTAATGTGCTTTGACGCAAATGGGTGTCTCCGCCGAATCAACCTGCTGGTGAGCAGGCCCTCAGCAGGGAAAAACATGAGCAGTTATGACAGTTATGCAGTTTTACTTGCGCATACAGAGGGTTTCGGATTTAGGGCACATGAGCACCAAGGCCCTTGCAGAATACTCGCCGAGCCCTCGCCAGCGCACCAAGCGGTGCCTAGGCATAACCGAGCCAAATTGTACAGAGGAAGCTCCTCTCTAAACGATACAGTTTAGCGCTTAGGCGTTTGGATTTTTTGAGTTTTCGGTTTGGAGGAGAACGAAAGGCTGAATCCCTGTACTGATCCCTCTCTGTGTACGCCCTTTTGGGTGCGCAGCTGCTTGATTTTGAATATCCGTAACCCATACCTCCCCTCGAAAACTGGCTTGTTGATGTTAGGTAAGCAGTTCTCACCCGCTTATCCGCATTATAGCGTGAACCGAACGAAATATAGGAACCCTGCCTATAGCAATTTAGGGGAAGGTCCCACAAGTCCCGCAAAATCGACGCCTAGCCAGACTCCAACATGCAGAGGAGGCAAGTGAAGTGCTAAGCGTACAAGAACCCTAAGATCCTCACCACCACCACCACAATCATGATAGTGGCCATGATGGGAATTCGCATTTGTTCCGCCGCTGCGCAAATCTTGGGGAGTTTCTAGACTCTAGACACACGTGCATTTGCTCTTGTTACGTCTGAGCGCGCTGCTGGATGTGATCAATGTCTTCATGCTCATTGATCATCTCCTGGATGCAGCATTGTTCGTTACACTGATGCCCGAGTCTGGATCCTTGCATGGATGCTGCTGTAACCCGCTCCAAGATCATTACCTTCACTTGGCTGGGATCTGAAAATCAATTCAATGCCAAACAAATTTAGCCACTGTTTCTGCAAAGCAGTCCGATTTGCCCGTGTGCAACAGGCGGCGGCTCCTGCATGTCACGAACAATCTGCGGGATGTTCGGTATGTCTCGAAGCCTGTCAGGCAGTCTGTAGGATGCCATCAGGCTCTGCAGGCACGACAGCCTGGCCTCAGATTTAAGTCATACTTGATCCGGCGATGTGTCATGCGAGAGTTGTTCTGGACATTCATGGACCTTTGCAGCGTTGCAACGTGTTGCCCTATGTCAGCGCGGACTGCATGGGCAGGTGGGAAGACACAACGGGCATGGTTATGGCTTCAAGCTTCGGGCATGAGCTTGTAGTTGGGCACGTAGATCGGTCTCTTGTCCCACTGGACCACCTGGCAAAATCTGCGAGCTGAAAACATGTTGAATTAGTAGGCGGGGTCGTGACAACCAGACTTCGCACTGCAATCAAATTGTTGCTGCCAGCATGATTGGTATGAGTGCTGACCAGACAGAAAGCACTGGCTGACACGGAGCTGACGGACCTTTGTGTAGAAACTTCCCACGTCTTGAACCCATCCGTCCTGGCATCCAGGGCAATCAAGAACTCAAGGCATGCAGCCTGGAAGCGGCAAAAACTCAAGCTTGCATTGCCTCGGCTGGGCCAATCTCTTAGGGTTGACAGTAAAAACAATAGTAACAACAACAATAATAAACATTAGCACTAGTGGTAATATGGGTAGTAATAATAATGACAATAGTAATAATCATAGTAATTGTTGCCTAAGACCTCCAACATGCTTCGCATAAATCCTAACTGGAAGCCCTAAGCACTCCGTCGAAGCAGTGGGAGGCCGCCCAAAACATGCATTTTCTAAAAGCTTGCCGAGGGCGCAATGGATGTACCATCCAGGGAAACCCAATCACCTCCGTAGAAAGATGCACTCACACGGTTTCGGATTTACAGGTTGAAGTGGTTGCGCACTCCATTTGGTTCAACGCCTAATTGATTGAGGCACGAAAATGGGACCCTTCTTAAAAGTCCAAGCTATAGTGGTGATTGTGAGCCTGATCCCTGGACAGGCATGGATGCAAAGCATGCCCAGGTAGACTTACATCACCCAAACCCTCCTTGTTCAGAGCATTTCAACTCATGCTCGGATTCTCTGGAACCCCGAGCCACAGAGAATTCTCAAACGCGTGAGAGAGTTCAGACCACTATGCAGCCATGCCTCCCAAGCCACTGCAAGAATCCTGATTTTGCCTGTACAATCTTTCCAAAAATGTTTACATCTTAACTTTGCATTCCAATAAGCTGTCCCTGATCGTTCCTGCATGCGCCTTGGGCAAAGGGCTGTGTCAAATGCAGCACCACTCCACTTATCCTTGAGGTTCCGTGCTGGTTGCAGATTTGGGGTCTGCGGAACTATAGGGGTTTTGGGCTTGGAGGAGTTCCTCAAAAATCAAATTGGATGAGATTTTGGAAGCTCCATATGATTTCGATTCAGCGGGTTCCTCTTAACAAATTGATGGTGATAGATTCACGTCTGCGTTGTATCTGCGAATTTTATGGTTCTGGCTCAGGAATGAATGCCACCTGGCATAGCTTGCTTTTCTTTTCCAGGCAAGGCCAGTCCTGCAGAGATATTGAAACATTGCAACTTCCCGTCTGTTCGCGACTGCTTGTCCAAAGCTTACATACCTGTAACTGTAAGGTCTCAAGCCACATGAAGCCTGCAGCCTTTGCAGGGCAGCGGATTGTCTTGCAAGGTCCAGTTCGTTGGGTCTTGGGAGCAAAGAGGGGAGAATGGAGTTTATCTTCCAGTCACCACTATGTAACTGGAAATGGTACCAACTATCAGATTGGATTCTGGCTGTGGACCCCGGCCCCTCGACTTTAAAATCGAAACAGCAAACAAGGAGGCCTAGTTCAGAAGGTCGTAGCAGCTATCCTGCCCTTGCTGGTCCAGTCATGTTCCAAACATGAGATCATTCCCAACTCTGGAGCCCCTAATTAAACCCTAGCCCAGACCCCTGATTCATAAACCCCCCAACCCTAATTAGGATTATGATAGGGATCCTAATATTCAGGCCCTTAAAAAGGAGGGACCTATTCTTCAGGGGTCTACATTAAACCCTCTGAGCCAAGAGTCATGTTGGCAACAATCTCACGGCCAACCCAACCTAAGCAGGCGGCCACATGTCTTGTACTGGTGCAGGCGTATGGCTGCCGCGCACACAATAGACGCAGCTGCAACGCATGCAACATGGGATGTATTGAGCCTAGCGTGAAGGGGCACCAGCAAGTCCCAAGGACCTGCCTTGTTGGATCTGTAGTTGGGACTCCGAATATCTCAAGGGACAGAGGACAGTGGCCAAGGCCTTTTTCAGCTTCACCGCTGTCGCTAGGTGTCCCGACCGATGACGACAGCTGTGGTTCCAGGAATCCTGATGGCAACAAGGAGAGTCCTATGATCACATGTCAGTTTGCGAAAGCAGTAACAGGTCTGTCCTACAGTGCAAAAGTGATACAGGGCTTCTACCACACCTAGGGAACAGGAATTTGGATGAAAGATGCTCAGGGCCACACAAGAGAAGGCGTCCGATTCGGACGCCAGCGTGGTAGAGCCTCAAGGCTGACGGTTCCTTCCCAAGCCCAAAAGAAGTTGTACTGGCGAGGCACATCGAAAGTTTTAGTTGGAGCTAAATCCTTCTCCTCAAGCCCGGGACCTTGCCACAGGCCTTACAACCACACATCGTACACTCCTGGCTCTAGACCCCTAACGCTGAAACCTAAAGTACTCATAGCGGCTCCACATCCTGAGTGGCTAAGAGGCCGGCACAGCGCAGATGTAGATGCTCCACACGAGAACCTACGAGTGGGTAACAACCAGTCTATTGGCTGCCTCAATATGAGGGCCCTTACTGTAAGCTTCTTGGAGTCCTTGGGTCTGTAGGGGTTGCATAGGGATTACAGGCTCCCCTGTAAGGATTGCGGAAGGGAACGTTTTGAAAGACTTCGTCTCTTTTTTTGGGGGGGGTATCATCAAAGTAGCGGCCAGCTTAGCCATGGGAAGTCATGACATGGTCAGGTGCAATGACATGTTTTATCATGGGTGGCAAGAGCCCTCCCAGCATGATTGCCTGTTTGTCGGCTATCAAAGTCCGATGTGCCGTTATTTGCTGTTTGTTTTGGCTATTTGTTGTTATCTTCTATGATTTTCTCTCATTTGCCGCTATTCGCCCCCCATTTGCCCTTGTTTGCTTGCCTTTTTTTACTGTTACGTGTTCTTATTTACCCGTCTTTGGCATTTTCTGAAATTGCCCGAATCTTTACGTGCTCTCTTTGCTGTTAATTTTTGTTGGGGGCGCATGTTTCCAGTGACAACCCTACTTCGTAAAGCCACCCCCCAAACCCCCCTCTCTCGCTCTCTCCCCCTCCCTCCCTCCCTCCCTCCCTCCCTCCCTCCTGAGCCATGAAAGCACACAGGAGACCTGAACCCGGAGCCCTTGGACCCGAAACTCTCGAAACTTGCTCAGGCAGCGGGCTTTCAATGCTGTGGACATGGCGTTGATGCGAGCTTCCTGCAGTGAGTCTTTCAGGTTTCAAAGCGACATCAGGGAAAATGTGATAGATCCCTTATTATAAAACCCCTATGTAACCCTTGCGTAAGCCTGTATAATCCTTGTATGAACGCATATAAGCCCTACATGCCTGATGATCAAGGAGAAACCCTCAAATCTCAGCCGCCAACTCCACTCCCCAAAGTCACACAATCTTTTCTTGAAGTACGCAGTCTTTGTGAAGCTTTACTGGTTTCCGTGGGAGTCGTATCTCCATAAGCGCAACTTGCGCGCGTCTGAAGAAGATATAATCCCGCCTTCCAGCCCAAAAGCAACGGACCGCTTCTGTTAAGAGAAGGACCCACAAATCAGAGAAGAGATCAGTTTGGCAAACCCGGGTCCTGCAAGCTCGACCTGCACAATGAAATAGCTAATCATGTGGGTAGCCGCAACATGAAGAAGTGCTGTAGATAAGGGGTAATGTTACCTCCCCCTGCTGCAACTTTGCAGAGCTTGCAACAACAACTCTAGCCCCTGCTGTTGCCACATGACGGGCAACATAGCATCAGCAGCACCACCGACAAGACCAAGCCGCCACCAGCAACAAAGTGTGGCTGGCAATCACGAAAACATCGGCCAGGATGTCATCATCAAAACTGCAAAAATAGGAAAAATAGGAAACAACAATGACAGGGTTCAATGCAAAATCAGCTGCATGACCATGATGGAGGCAGATGACAGCCATAATCAGCCATCATGACCGTAGTTCTCAGCATGGAATACAGGGTGCATAAAAAGCCACGGGTCTAGCCTGGCATAGTTTTGTAGCAGGTATTGGAAAACTAGTCTTTTTTTAAGGATTACACAGCAATCGCAAAGACGTCCTAATATCCATGCAGACCCTCACAGTTTCCTACATGTCATGGGCACCAGCAAACTAAGCCCGTTGCTGTACCCCCATGACGTCGCTGAGTTCAGCTCGACCCCTTGAGCGGCGGTTACCCCACCTTACGATGATGAAAGCAGGCGCTGCGCAAGGATGGGTGCATGCGATACGGTCAGTTCCCAGACCCATGGGAGGATGTAAAAATTAGATCCCCTATATAGACCCATTATAAGCCCTACATAATCCTTATATAATTTACCATATGGTTCTAGGGGATCTAATTTTTGGCTCCCTTTGAGGGTCCGGAATGGAGTTTCTCAAACAAGCAGCTCAGGTACCCCTGAGCATGAACCTCCTGAGTCTGAAGGGCCACAAAGGAACGGCGAAGCCATGCGATCACGCCGCCACAGCTGAGTCCAGGACAAGCGAACTAAGCGATGTGCAAACCTGACGACGGCGGGGGGGGGGGGGGGG